TGTGTGTTGTCACAGGTGCAGGGTGTCTCACTTGGGGTCAGCCTGGAACTGCTCTGCCCTGCTCCGTGGATCAGTGGGTAGATAGAATATTGCTCAGAGTCTCCCATCAACATGTCAGTTACCTCAGGCAGTGGAGCCGATGACTGTACGGTCCTGCCGGATGGAGCGGGTGTACATAACTGGTGTGCCATCATTATAGCCGAGTGTTGTGGAGCTGATGGTACTTGGATAGCGGGGCCTCGAAGCTGGGTTGTCATTTGTGTTCTTGTAGGCTGCGGTCAGAGTTCTCTCTCGCTCAGTGGAAATGAGTTAAGTGGTTAAGATCTGAGTGACCATGTGGGTGACCTGACTAACCCTTTGTTTTTTGTTTTTTTTTTTCAGATAAGCGGACACAGTGTACCCCAGGCGGAGAGAAGTTGAAGCAGCCTGGTAAGAAGGTTGTATTAGGTGTTGGATGCAGGATGTCAATTTTAGCCACAGGAGTCCTTTATCTTGTGCCTTTTTGTTCTTTCTTTTCCAGATGGGGCCCAATCGGTCTCGAGGGGTAGCGACTGAGCAGGGAGACGAGCGAGGTGAGAATTTTACTCCCGAACTGAGTTCGGAGTTAGTTTGAGAATGTTGTCTATGTGGTCAGTCTATGCATCTATGTTGTAGCTGTTTAATTTTTTTTCCAGGCGATACACAACCCTTTGCCCGTGTGCTGAAGGTGCCGAAGGTCCATCCTATAAGAGATCAAGCTGAAGGAACCCGAGATAACCAGGATGAGGCAGTACATCAGCACCAGCCTCCACATCCGTGTTGTCTCACAGCGGCCGTCTGTCCACTTGAGGGTGTGTAGCAACGCTTCGGCGTGGAGTCTGATGGGGTTTAGAGGTTTTTGGCTTTGCTTGTGAGCCATCCCTAAATGTTTGAGAGCTCAGTGTTTGAACATTTACCCCTTTCATTTGCAGGGGAGGCCTTGGGAGCAACTGAAGAGAGAGGAGCCTTCTAGGTGAGGCGGGGAGGCAGCAGGAGGAGTAGGGATCCCCTGCAGCTTTAAAACTGCCCTCTAATGTTGTGTCTCACTCACTCAGGTATCCCGGAAGGTGATAGCCGCAGTGTCAGACTCCGGTCCGGTCTCGCTGATGGTGAGTAGGGGGATCACTGGGGTTTGAACCACATGACATACAACTCACATATCGCTTCTGGTTTTCTTTCTTGTAGTTGACTTGGAGTACTCTCATGATGACAGGAACCTCTGAGCCAGCCCAGGTGCCCCTCCTCTGCAGCGAAGATGGATTCACATCCCCGGCTGTCGGCAAGATAAGTGCAGGGCAAAGACCCAGAGAGGGATTGGGAGTCGGTGCAAGTGTTTACATTGCCCGGAGGGATTTTTGAAATTAGTACAGTGCAATGGGTGTCCTGTAACAGGTTATTTGGACACATGGAAGGAAGGGCTTACTTTGTATCACTGGATTCACTTGTGCAGGGCAGAGCAGTTTTGGTCTGTGTCACGTCCTTTGTCTCCTCTGTGTTTTGTGTCCTTTGTCTCTTAATTGTGTCCCATGGTGTGTGTTGTCACAGGTGCGGGGTGTCTCACTTGGGGTCAGTCTGGAACTGCTCTAACCTGCTCCGTGGATCAGTGGGTAGATAGAATATTGCTCAGTCTCCCATTAACATGTCAGTTACCTTAGACAACTGAGCCGATGGCTTTACAGTCTGTGAGCAGGGTTGTCTTGCGATGCCCTGCTTGGGTGTATAGAGTCACAGCTAGACAGAGTAGCAGTGTCTATGGTATGGGCGTTTGTCAGGGGTCTTTGGGCTTACAAAATGTATAAGCTTGGTTTAGGAGGTAAGTCCAAGGTCACAGAAGGCACACTTCAGAGTCCCTCCCCTTTTGTCTTACAGCCACCCAAAGCAACCTCAGATTCCCACGGTGAAAGACAGCATCAGTTTTCCTAGAACTTACGGCGACCGGGGCGAGATCGACCGAATGATCGTCGATGGAAACTTCTGAGAGCCACGTGGAGTCTCCGCCCAATGACTTCTGGACTGCATCGTATAGCATTGTTTATTTAGTGTTGCAGGTTGCTTCTTAGTTATAGTTATTGTATTTTCCAAGTAGCATAGGCAAAGTCCAGTCGCCGTTTATGTTGTCATTTGTACCGCCTCATACTGCTCTGTATCATACACGTGTATAGTTGTAGTCATATCGGTCCGTGTCCGAATGTCACAGCGTCGTGTTCCGTGCGTCAGGAATCGTACATCTTTGCGCCTTTGTGTGTAGCACTTGTTATGTCACGTCACTTGTATTGCCATGTAGCGTTCTGTCTGGTATACTTGTATCTTTGCAATTGTATTGCTCTGTATGTGAATGTCATAGTGTTGTATTGCCGTGCGTCAGTTAGGAATTGTATAGCTTTGTACCTTACTTTGTTTTGCTTTACATGTCGCGTCATCGATACTGTCTTGTAATGCTGTGAGGGGATGCGTGTTTGTCAGGCTTGGCTATTTGTCTGTTGTCGGTTTTTGTTTGTTTTTTTTTTTTTTTTGGTGGCTCCACGGGAACCACGTTCCCAAGGGAGCGTCTTGAGCGTGTGCAGTATTCAGGGTTGACTTGCGGCTTTGGGGTATGGTGGAGGTGTGGTGATGGAGGGGTTTGGTGTTTGTAATGTAGTCTTCTAACCTTGTGTTTGTATTGTTTCTCTTACAGGTTTTTTTTTACAGCATTTTAGCTTTAGAATAAAAAAACCCCAGCCGGGGGATTTTTTTTTTTT